TCATATAATCTTTATAACAAATCTATAAAATCTGCCCTTTTACTTCCATTTTACAGATTAAAGAATAGAAACTCAAAGAGTAATTTATCCAAAGTCACCTAGCTTCTTAAGTGTGATACAGGTTTCAAATATAGTTTTATCTTGAGTTCAAACAAACAAACATTCCTTAATCGTCTATATGCTCTACTGTGTGGTTTCCCCTCTAAGCCTAACTTTCCTTTGGCTAATTTAAGAATAGAATTGTAGAGATGTGGAAATTCTTGTCAAAATCCCCCACCCCTTCCCCATCTGCTTGTGGCCACTGCTCTGATCTGGAGGAAAGAGGACAAACATTGTTAGAGGCCACAAACACTGAATGATAAGAAGAGAGATAAAATGGGTGAGGAAAGAAAAATGACCTGACTTCATAGAATAGTCCTTAAGGGGAAAGAGACAGCTGCTTGAGGTCGGCTGTGAACTCACACTGTCCTGGCAGTCCAGGCCCCTGCTCTCATAGAGCCTGTAGCAGGCACATCCACTTGCCTGCACACTTCAGAACCAGGGCAGGTCTGAGAGCTACTACGATGTGGCCAGCCAGCACTGCTGAATTCAAAGGCACTTGAGTCAACAGTGGTGTTCTACTGCAGATTGATTGTTTCTGGTATTGAGCTCTCCGAGAGAAGAGTCAGGAGATATTTTTACACTTCCAGCCAAAGATGACGAGACTGTACAGGTTCTGTGGATTCAAAAGACTTGACATGATTTAGAAATGATGGATGAATGAAACAATCACTGACATTTTATAAAAACAGCATTTTTTGGGAGACAGAATATTTAACTTAACAAGAACTCTGAAGACCCCTGCCCTTTAGCTTCTGGACTCTCAAAATTAGAACTGTAGGAGCAAAAGATGATCTGAGCTCTCTCCCTAAGAATTTGGGAGTATAGTTGACCCTTGAAAAAATGTGATTGAACTGCGTGTGTCTACTTACATGCAGAGGTTTTTCAATATAGATACTGTAAATTTTTTTGGAGATTTGTGACAATTTGAATAAAACACGTTCTTTTCTCTACCTTGCTTTATTATAACAGTATATTACATAATATATATAGCATACAAAATATGTGTTAATTGACTCTTTATGTTAAATTTTGGGTGAGTTAAAAGTTATGCACAGATTTTCAACTGTGCAGGGGGTCAGTATTCTTCAAGGGTCGATTTCTTCAAGGGTCAACTGTTGTAACTTTAAGAATCTAGACCAGAGGTTGACAACTTCTGGTCTTAAGGCAAAATGTAGTCACAGATGTATTTTGTGTTATAGCTTTAGCCTACACAGTGACTAAAATGTCAAGCTCTCGACACATCTTAAAATCAAGCCACAGTGGGCTTCTATTTTTTTCAGGCAATCAATTTGAAGAGGTCCCCTCTTTTGGTGCAGCATAGACCTTCCAATCTGCTTGGTGCCTAGCCCTCCCCTGAGAAACTGAAGCTCCATTTATTTTTATCACTACACTGTAACTGAGGATTCCTTTCTAGAAGACTGAAAGCTGTCTGGCTCTTGTACAGATCTGAGCTGGGCATCCCTGAAGGCATCTCACAACCACTGGCAAAAGAAAATGAGCCCTTGTGTTGCTAGTTACTGTAGCAAAGTCAACAGGAAAAATAAGCTCAAAGCTCTTCTATGTTTTCTAAAGAAAAATTTCAAATTGGTTTTTTTTAATTTACTCATTACTTTTACATTGTTATTTTTTCTCTTTTCAGTAAGAAAAAAGAAATAGTTCATTGGACACAAGCACATTTGAATCCCAAACTATCAACATCTTATATATTTAAATTCTACTGGGCTCTGAGAATATTTTTAATAGCTTATTCAAAACAAAGCCAGTAAAAAAGCTGAAATAAAAGTAAAAAATCTATAGTTGAATGAATGATTGCAGAGAGGCATCTATGTGTGCTTCCCATTTAATTCAAGAATTCTTAAATAAACAAAACAACAGAAGCAAAACTCCTTTCAGTTTTATGAGTTGAGGAAGGCCTTTTATGCAGGCCACTTCTAGAGCAGTTTTGTTTGGATAATGGGCAGTTGTAAATATGACTGTAAGACTGATGTAACTTTTTTTTACATCTGAAAATAATGCTTTCAGGCTTCTTTATGGGCAACCAAATAATTCGTATGCTGGTTAGACTTCACAGTGATCAAATGAGTAACATCTCTATGGAGCAGTCCAATCCCTCATCACCTATCACCCCTTTAGTGGGAGAGTTCGGGGATGTATAAATCCACGGTGTCGCGGGTTTGACGACTGAGATGTGGTGACTCATGTGCTGATTGGGTATTTACACAGAAATACTGGACCTGGTAGCAGCTTTTAATATGAGCTGTCTGAATATGACTGAATCAATAAAAGCCATTTTACAGACTAATAGAACACTAAATGTTGATAAAGGTTAATATCAATATTGGTAAATATTTGTAAACTTTCACTTTGCATAGAAAAGTCTATTCATAAAAAGGGCCTAATTTCTTTCTCATTTGCACCTCTAGGAGTAGGTAAACAGATGAGGAAATTGAGTGCCTAAGAGTTTGTGACTTAATGTCACACAACTAGAACGTAAGGAATCTGGGAATACACCTCAGGAATTCTGACTGCATTCAGGGTGTCCATGAAATCTTGCTGCATTAGTATTAGGGAACAGTGAATTCCCTGAGCTGTTGGGAAGAAAAGAGATATGATATGTGCAGCCTAAGATGTGACTTTAGCCTAAGATGTGTTGTTTTCTATGACCATTCTTCAATATAGAACATAAACATCAGCTGCCATTACTACTGTTTTTACCTTATCAGTATTGGGGAAATCTGCAAACTGGGTTGGATAGCACATTTCAGTTTGATGAAGATTTTCTGTTTTTATTAGGAGGGAGTCTGAGAGTTTCTCTGATCAAATGGAGAATAGCTACTCACTTCTGGGAAATAACCACAGCCCACAATCAAACCTAATAAGAAATTAAAAAAGGAGTAACTTATTTTGAGCAAAGGTGTTAAGAAGCTAAAAAATGAGGCTACAGTCAGAAAGTGGACAAAATGCATGTGTCTGAAAACAAAATGACTCTAGCTTTAAAATCCAGCAAACAGATACATGCCAGTATCAGTAAATGGAGAGAGAGGTGGACACTGTGAGCAGAAAACCAAGAGACTGAGTAATAAAATCAAACACATTCATAAGGCAAGTAGAGGAAATGATCAAAATAACCACCAAAGAACAGTAAAGTCTACATCTAGCTTTTTTTCTTCCCTTCCGGAGATAGGTTGACATTACTGAAATCTTGCATTAGTTCTTTCTAAAACTGCAGATCTCGGGTTGGACAATAAAAATATCATGGCAGTTAGTTCTTCCAAAGAGAGATGCCATTGCCCAGGAGAGGAATTCAATATGCCAAGAAAAGAAATGGAGCTAATGGGTGTGATGTAAGCTACCAGAGAGCTCTAGTAATGTAAATGTGAGCACTTAATATTTCTAAGCATCTAGTTTTTCACGTTGTAAAGCTTAATTTGTAATTCAAAACATTGTTTTGAGAAATAAAGAGAAAATGAGCAAAATGCCTTAAAAATAGTGAGGGTAAACTATATCTATTATTTTTTCCACACATGCTTTCCTAAGCTCCTATATTGTTAGAGGCATCTGGTTTAAATAGGAAAAAGTAGGACAAAATACCATGCAGGAGAAAAAGGATCTCAGAGTCTGAAGACAAAAGTTAAGTTAAATAATCTGCCCAGCATTGCTTAACTGCTAGAAATGCACAAAAACCAGGCCTGTTTAATTCCAAAGCTCCTGCTTTTCCTCTATGCCATTGTTCTTCTATAAATGAGAGGATCTGTAAGCAATTGAAAGGTGATAGTTACGCTTATAATTTCCTTTGCTTTCAAGTTTCAGATTTAAGACCTAGTACCTCTGCCCCAGTGGATAAAGGCCCTGTAAACTGCTATAGTGACACAAGTAGCTCAAGTACCAATCCTTCTGTCCCTTCCTCCTCTGGGCTGAGGCCTGGGGTAGGGATGGTATAAAGCCCAGGATACTTTCATGGTGAATCCAGGACCCAGGCCTGCCTCTCAGTTCCCCCATTTCAGCTTTAGCCTGCGGCAGCACCCCACTGAGCTGAACTTGAATCCCCTCTAGTGAGGACACTTTACATATTTAGTGACTGTAGGTAGGGAAAATGAAATTTCAAAGCCCAGGGGGAAAACACAGTGAGAGATGATGGACTTGCTGAAAATAAAAAATTTTTGGATCTTCTCCCCCAAATTGTGGGGATGATATGTAGGAGGAGAAAATACTCAAATAAATATAGTATGGTGAAGAGAGTCTGTAACATGAGCCTGGTTTCCCCAGGGAAAGTTCTTAACGTTTGTGCCCCCTGGGCAAGAATTAACCCACCCTCATTCCACTTTCCCCTCCCAGATTTAGCTGGAATCCCAGAAAGCAAGCGTTTTTAACCCCTCCTCTGCCCCTTGCTTGCTGCTTGGGCGACGCTGTGACAGGGTAGCCGCCCTTCTCTCTGTCCCTGTGTAGGACAGGCTGGCTCTAGCCGACAGAGAGACAAGGACCAAGTGTGCGTTGGAACATTGAGCTAATCCAGCCGTAATAATAAGGAAGAGTTTACTTTTCCCGGATGTGGCCCGACTCCGTTTAATTAATCTAGGAGTGTGGATTAAAGCTCAGGGGTTAGCAACTAATTAAAGTCACTCAAGTCCGAATTGTCACACCTCAGGGCTGGAATCCCGGGGCAGTCGAAACTTGCAGGAGCTGCAAACGTGGTCAGTGGAAACGAACTCTCCATTCGGCTCCGCAGCACGTGACTTCCTATTTTGTAAGGTACTTCCAAGGGACTTCCTCCGTAAAGTCAGTCGTCCCGGGAGATTTCATTCAGCGCTGTAGCGAAGTTTACTTCCAACATGGGACAGAAATTTTCCCTGAGATACGGTTTTAGTTTCTTTTCTTTCTCTTTCCTCTGATATTGTCAGCATGCAAGGATCTTGTGGCTCCTGTCCGTGATCATCGGAAGCTGAATACACTGGTGCAGATCTCAGTGATCCACCCCGCCGAGCAGGGTCTGACACGATACTCAAGCACGGAAATTGTGGAGGTGAGCATGTTGTATGCCTGTGTTATTCTTGCTCACTTTCTCTCTCTCTGGATTTGAGCGAACAGTTGGAGTATGTTAATTTATGGGCTGTAGCTCTGCTACGTTACCGCCCCCTGTCACTTAGGAAAGCATACCTGACTTTAAGCTTCCCGGAATAGACCAATGGGGGAAGAACTTGACTTTTTCACAAAAGACCTTATTTATCTCGGGTAAATAGAAAAATTTCCACTTTGAATCCTCAACTAGACCACCAAACAGAGACAAAAGGGAAAATACAGATTTTAATGAACTGGACTGGATATTTATTTTAGAGAAAAAATCATGAAGTACCCGAAGAGTTTTAAACCCGTTAAATGTTTTTGCCCTTTTCATTGTTTTCTATATCCTTCAGTCTGTCTGTGGAAACTTTATATTCTCTGCTGTTTGTGTGAGTGTCTTTTTCAAGTGTGATGTTTTTCAAAGATAGGTAGATGATTAATTTGAGAAACTGAAGTTTCTAGACAGAAAGTGTTGAGTATTACTCATCAGATGAGAGATTTCCTATTTACATTCATTGTTAACTAATATAACATTCAAAATGTGTTGGGAGGAAACTTGTTATTGTGTTGGATAGGATTCAAAAGAGGAAGTGTTTCCCTTTTGATTATTTAATTCTCATCAGACATATTTCTCAGCCTTAGTGAATGATTTTGAACATCCGGGACTAAAGAAAGTGTACTTGAAACTCCTTAGCTCTGCCTGCTCCTCACAGGCCTGTGAGCCCTGTCTGCTTTGAATGAGTAGTTTCTCTGTAAGAAACTAAGTGCCCACCAGCTCCTTGCTGCCCTTGATGGAAATAAATGACTCAGATTGAACTTTACTCATCCTTCTCCTGGGAATGACCCAGATCCTGCATAGAGCCCTGAATCTGCCTTTTGGAATGTCTAGGTTCTAATGCTGGTATAATATGCTGTAGTTGCATTAACAAAAATAGTCAATCACAGAAAGAAAAGTAAAATTGTAAAATTGTTCATTTATATGAAAAAAAATTCAAGTATTATTCCAGTTTAATTACTTTAAAAATATTGTCAAAACTTACTTTAATTGGATACATTTCAAAATTTTAAATTTTAACCTATACAGCTGTTTTTGGCCATTTTATTCACTGCCCTCTCTCAGAGTGTCTAACAGAGTGCTGAACAAAAAGTTGTATTGGTTGAATCCAGGAAAAGAGTTGATGCACACATGATAACTTGTGAAACTTCCATAGACAACTGGGTTGCAGAACCCTAGCAAACATCTCAATGGTATAAGGCAATATACATATTTAAAAATAGATATAAAATTTAATGGTGGATGTCAGCTCTCTAAAAACAAATTCTGAATCACTGAATTATCCTGTGCTCTGCATTCTGAGCTTGTAATTTCATAGCCCCAAATCCATCATATTTAGTTTCTGTCATTAGTTTTCAAATTAGTCAGAGGAAAAAAAAGTATAGCTGAACATCTAAAAACAATGGACACTATCAGAGCGTGGCTTTCAATTGAATCATTACAGAAAGGAAATATAGGGACAGCGTAAGATTACCAAATCGTTTTTGATGAGAAAATAGCTTCATTTTAATTTGATCAGTCAATATCTTAGGTTATTTGCATAAATTACAAGTTATGTCCATTAAATGTATTCTGACCCCAAGAAGGGCTCTGCATGTAATGAAAATAAATTGTTTTTCAAGACTATTCGCAGTTCTGATAATGATGCAGGGTGCTTCAGGACCAACAGCTGTCTCAGGACTTTGGTGCTCTGGGCCTTGCTGCTGACTGTGGACATCATATGGCAATTCAAACCTCACTTCTGCTAGAACTATTTCCTAGAAAAACAGACCCAGACACACTGTGCTCTCATGTGTCACTGCCTGCTGCCGCCTGCAGTTGCTGCCTTACTGAATCAAAGTTGTCTGCTTGCGCTGTTACAGGGAACAAGAGACCCACTGTTTCTGACTGGTGTCACATTTCCATCTGAGTATCCCATATATGAGGACACCAAAATAAAGCTAACAGTCTATGATGTCAAGGATAAGTCTCATGACACTGTAAGTACTGGCACTTCTTTCTCTCATTGGAAGAGGAATTATGCTATTGGGTTTTTAATGTAACTAGAATTTTTCAAAGAGGGTAACGTGTACTGTGTGCAAGTTTTTCTTTTAGTTTGCCTTTTTTTTTTCAAATGCACCTTGCTTAGTGCCAAATTGGCAATTGGTTAGGATCAGAAGCTTTCAGGGCAGATTTTTCTCTTTTCTTAAGAAAGCTGGCTTAATCTCTTGGTTTACATTTTTTTTTTTTTGTTTTAAGGAGTTACTGAAAGAGTAACACTGTGAGCAGAAAACAAGTGGAAGAGATTAACTTTAAATTATGTTTCAAAACTTTCTAGATATTGTAATTACCCTAAACAAAGGATTGAAAAAGTGCTCTAATTTCACCATGTTGTCTTTTACCTACAGTATAGAGAGAAATTTTCTTTTCCTGAAGTTGTTCCTGGCACCAAAACAGAGTGGGAACTGGAAGTAGCATGCAGAAGCTTTGATTGGCCTCTTTATAAGAAGGTCATGCAAAGCCCCAGTAGTCTTTTGTTCTAGATTCTTCAGTCTCACTACAGGGTCTGACTTGCCTTCCACTTGAATCAGACCCTGCTGTCAAGCAGTTAAGTATCCAGGCTAATCTCTAAAGGTCACTGTAAACTTAGGCAGGAGAGAATCCTATAGGGTAAATATTGGGAAGTGGCTAGTTTAAAGTGAGTCCTCTCCTTTAAATCTCTTCTGTTAGCATTTGGTTTTGTCTGTTTTCAAGGCAGGGGACTGATTGGAAAGCTGGTGTTTGCTGGCTTGTGAAACACTGGTTTTCACAAGCAAGCAAACCCTTTGACGGCAGGTGGACCCTATGCGAGAGGACTTCTCTTTGAAGCTAAGCAGGGCTGCTGGGTCTGGAAAGTCACACCTACCTGGTATAGGGAAAATGGAGCTTTAAACTCTGCCCTCATGGAGGCTAATGTTCAAATGGATGGTGGGAGGAGGTGGTACTGTACAGAGAAGTAATAAGCAGAGAGAATCAGGATGACAGGGAAGGCAAGGCCTCAACCATGGAATTTTATGATCTTTCAAGCACATGATCAAGTTCAATCCTTCCAACAGTCCTAAGGTATGAACAGGACAGAGAATATGGAAGGGACAGAGGTATAGGAAAGCTATGATGCAGAAATGAAAATGTTGCCCCTACACCGTTGGGTTTCTTAAGTCCTTGGAAATAACAGAGTTAGAAATATTAAATATCAAAGGTGTTTCGGTCCCCTTCAATCTTACTTAAAATGTGCATGTCTGTTAATACTTTAGGGATAAATAATTAGCTTAGTCATTAATTATGCTTTTTATTGGCTTCTATTCTAGAACTAATTATTTAGGATCTTTTTAGAGACTTTCTTCCTTGATCAGAGGTTCTATCACATAAAAATATTGAATGAACTGGAATCACTGCTGCGAATAGGACTTGTGAAATTTGAACATACTTAAGAAAAGCAACCAGTTTTCATTTACCAAATGCTGTTAATTAAGGTATAACCTCTTCCTTAAAATAACCAACAATTTAGTGATGGAAGTGTAAATAGAAACACAGTTCATTAAGATGCTAATAGTTCCCAGGAACATCGGATTTATTCTGGCACATTTTCTCTCACTTCTTAAGTTTTCTTTGGGGTAGAGGGAGTGGAAAGATGGAGGCAGGAAGTGGTTTTAAAGTACAGTTTATAATTGTGACACCTAACCTAAATATTTAAGATTGTAATACTTTTTAAGGATTAAAAAATGAGATTGTGAATATTTATGTGTTTGGGCACATTAATGAATTATATGCATGCATTTAAAAATTGTTTAGATATTTGATCCTAGCAAACCATTGATCATATAAGGCTGATTCAGGACAATGAAATCTTCTATACTAGCTGAATATTAATTAGTTGAGTCAGATGACTAAGTTGCTTGTCTTTTCCTTTCAAGTTTACCATTACTTGGAGTTAACCAGTCAAATAAAGCTGTTACTTTGCCATTTCATATTCATTCAAATAATATTCATTTTGGATATTTTTAAGGAGAAATGATAACCTTTCGTCTGTGTCCTTGAGGCAGCTATCATCTAACCAGTTTGTTGTTCTTGTATTCCTCTAAACAACTGACATAAGATTGATTATCTGAGTGACTTCAGCAGAAATGCAATTAATCATTGTAAAAAATGAGGAGTATAACTGTTGATTCAGAATGACAGTTGTTTCTTCCTACTGCATCCTTCGTTCTTCCCATTTGTGGCAGATGGATAGATGATGCTTGAGAAGTGGTGAGATGGGGTGTGGGGGATGACAGAATCTTTATTAGAATTAAAATGACCTTTTATTATTTTCTTCACCATGAGGAAATTACCTATTTTTCAGAGTGGTCTGCTCTAATATCCAGCTGTTTGGTGGGGATTTTAAAGTTTGAAATTGAAGTCTGTGACTAGGGTGTAAGAGCCCAAGTTCTGACAATGAACTTGATTTCTTCTGGATATATGCTGGTTTATGCTCTATTTTAAAACTCCTAGAAACTGAAACAACATAGACAAAAGTGTTTTTAGCTCATCATTTACAATGTTCAGCCCTAGGGAACCAAGCTGGAAATCTGGGTCTTTCATATGTTACAGCAGAAACTCAGAGGAAGGAGAAATTTATGAAGGAAAAGAGTATCACCAACAAGCTTTGTCTCTCCTTCCCATCCAACTGGTGTTTGGAAGGTACTGAATAAGGCTTTTTCAGCACCCCGCAGAAGACAGCCATCAGTCTGCAAACCTATGATTAGGTCACAGAATTGCTTTTTCCTGTGGTAGAAACTTGAATTTCTGATGTATTTTGCAGGAGGGCACATTGCCCCATTCCTTTTGATCTTGCAGTAAATTAATGTTTGCTGCATCCTCAACTTGTTAGATGTTCACTTTGTAGGATTAGTCCCATGTCTGATAGACACTGAACATTTCTCAGGTGAGGACATTTTTTTACTACCAGTTACTAGCTACTCCCCATTTGTACCTTTTGGAAAAAGTGATACTTATCAATACTGATTATAAAATGATCTCATTGAATGTGTTATGTGCCCAAAGTCATTTAGTTCTAGTACAATTCCTCAGAGAGTAAGTATCCAGCTCAGTTTTTATGTTTTTCTATGGACAATAAAACCATTTACATTTAGTATACTTTGACTTGGTTTGATTTTCTACATGAACTTCTCAGAAATTTAAGTTTAATAATACCTGCTGAGATATAAATTCTGTGAGCTGGCTTGATCACTAAGTAAATACCAAGCACTATGTTTAATATATTATCTATAGTTTCTTCTTTAATCTCCATAAACCTTCTTTGACAGAATTATTATTAGGCCTATTTTAAAGATGAAGAGATTGGGACTCTGAAAACTTAAGTAGGCCAAGTCACAGATCCTTTATTTTTTCCAGGCTAAACTATGACACATATATTTGTAGGATTTTCATTCCCACAGTATGGTCTTTTAACTTCAACTGATACTTTACAAGCATTCTTCATTAGGGTTTAAAAATTGATTCAGAAAAAAATGTCAGGATTCAAGTAGAGGAAAAAACCCATATCCCAAAATTTTAAGTTCTTAAGTTAGCATGTATAACTAATTGCAGATGTCTGAACAAATTTTAAAACAAAGTGGCCAACTACTATTCATGAAAAATCAGCTGTTACCACCTGTTGTGAAATGGCTAAGTTTATGTTTCAAACTTTGACTTTTGTTCCCCTGGCCTTGTTTTTCCTTTTCTTTTATGTGTACTATGTGGGCCTCTCAACTGCCTGTTCATTCAGTGTGCCTTTTGGAAAGCTCCTGTCTACGTTGTGGCATAGTTTGCAAGGGGAGTTACCAGTTTAATATAGAAGTTGGTCAGAGTTCTAAAATATTGCTGCAATTCATAAATGACTTCATTTCCTTTCTACCTAGTGATTCATGGTATATATTTACAAAAAGTATGTTTATATTTTACTGAGGTATAGTTTACATTACAATAAAACGGACAGATCATAAGTGTTCAGTTCAATTAGTTTGACATTTGCATATGAACACGTAACCTACACCAAAGCAAGACATAGAACATTTCCATAATTCCAGGAAGTTCCTCTGTGCCCTTTTTCAGTCAATTGCCATCTCACACACCCTGAAGCAACCATTTTCTGATATACCAACGTACATTTATTTTGCTTGTCTAAATTTATGTGAATAAAACTATATAATATGTGCTGTCTTGGGTTAGTATCCTTTGGTCAATTTAATGTTTTTGAGATTCATTCATATTGCTGAGTGACTCAATAGTCTATTCTTTTTGGTTGATGAATGCTATTGTGTTATAGTACTATAATTTGTTCATCCTCATGTTGATTGATATCTAATTACTTGCAGCTATTGACAATGATGAGCAAAGTGTCTATGAATATTTGAGTCCAAGTATTTAGATTTATTTCTAGGTGTATTTGATAATGTTTTATGCTAACATACAAGGTAATTTAAAAAATACAATTTTCAACTCTTATTTGTTAATAGGTAGAAATAAAATTATTTTTGTGTATTGACCTTGAACTTGTAGCCTTGCTAAATTTACATATTCTTAAGGAATTTTTTTTAGATTCGTAAGACTTTGTAAATAATAAGCTTCTTATCAATGAATAATGAAATACTTATGTGTCTCTGTCTAGTAATTGTGCATTTTGTCTTTATTGAACTGGCTAGGAGCCATAGGACTTTCAGTACAATATTGCTAGAAGTGGTAACAGTGGAAGTCCTAGTTTTGTTCCCAAACTTAGGAGAAAAATGTCACCATTAACTATGATCTTGACTGTAAGTTTTTCATAGATGCCTTTTATCAGATTGGGGAATTTCCTGATTTTTTTTTTTTTTGGTGTGCATTTAGATGATCAAATGTTTTTCTTATTTATCCTGTTAATGTAGTGAACTACATTAATTAATTTTTGTTGTATGTTAAACCAACCTGAGATTACTGGAGCAAT